GAACGTTAGTGGGCTGCCCATATGCTTTGGTCTTAGGGACTCCATGACCAGCTAGTCACCTCAGAGAACCTATGGGACACATCATTCTGATTTTTACACTTACCCTACTACCTTTCAAGTTAACCACATGCCAATATTAAATGCTGCTACCTGGACTCAGGCAGTCTGGGCCCTCCCATCCCCATGTAACTCTGTAAGCCAAATTCAACTCCAGCCTTTTTCACCATCATCCCTGGCCTACAAAGAACATTTTTCAAAGCCCTTTCAATAATGCTGACCTCCCTGTATAGGTTTTTTTTTTTCTAAAGGCCTTTGTGAAGAATGGCTTCTGGACCTTTTTGAAAGACACAGTTGAGGTGAGTGGTTGGGTCAGAAATGATAAATCTACTCCATCATTCCTGTCTCTTGAAACTTTTTAATTTGTTCTTTTACATTTTCTTGAAGAAATTTGCATCTCAACTTCATTTTACATGAGTCACCATTATGTCCAGATTTCAGTCAACCTTTAACAGAACAAACAGAATTATCCCCAGCTTCTCAAGCTGGAACAGTTAATCCAGAATCTCTTGTGAGCCCTATTTGTAAATCAGCCCAGGCTACAATTGTACCCTCCTCTTCTTCATCTAGCATTCTTAAAATCTATTCTAACTCACATTCCACAGATTAATGAGCAAAAACTCTTCAGTTCTTTTGGTGATTGAGTCATCTGCTCCTGAATTTCACTTTGTAATGGGCCTCTTGAAACACACCAGAATTTAACTCTAATTAAATATCTGGAAATATGCATAGTAAAGAGTAGGGCATAAGTAGGCAATAAGAGTTTCTTTTAACAAATTCACAATTTGGGTTTCAGTTCATATTTTAAAATGAGAATCTAGAGATTTCCATGTGTTAATCTCTTCAAGGGAAAGAGCTAACCTCAGCATACAGCTCTTGAATTCCTCATATACTTCATGCTGTTCTGCGGTAACAACAGTTAAGTCCTCCATGATCTTGTCTTCAATGCCCACCTCATTCCTGATGTTCACAGGCATTAATTTCTTTAACTATAACAAGCTATGGGCTTCCAACATCCTATCTCGGAATATTAATTGGGTTTTTATTATCTTCAAACATAATGAGTCTGTATAACTAGTCTCGTCATTTCATTAAGAGTGTTGTTTGTAACCAACTCCCCATTACCAGTTTTTGTATAAGTCTGGATTTATGGTTGCAAGCATTAATAATCAACTCTAGGTAGCTTAAACAGACTGGAATTTGTTGGAAGGATACCAAGGGCTCACAAAATCTATGAGAAAGTTAAAAACCAGGCTCAGAAAATGGATATGAGCCAAAAGAGGCTGGCAACAGAAAACTTAGCCAAGCACCTCTGTAGGAACAGTCTGGTTAGAAGGTTGCCAGGATTTGGGCAAGAGCTGTTATAGGAAGAGGCTAAGCAGAGTGTTTTCAATGGCACGCCCATCACCAGACATTCTCTTCTCCTGGATTAGAGTCACTACCATCTCTGTAAATAACTTGCTAGCGCCTCTACCTTTGTATCACTCCTTCTAGATTCAGTGTCAGAATCCCACTGGACAAACCTTAGTTACATACTGATGCCCTTGCTGTCTAGAAGAGTGATGATCTGCCCTTTTTTCACTTTCCATCCTAGAAAAAGCACTGGGATATTAGGTAGCCAACACATGTGTGTGCCCATGTGCACGCACACACAGCCAGGCCACCATACTTGAGTTTATCTCTGGACTTGCTATTCTGTTTTATTGGTCTGTTTATTTTGTTATCACTATGACACTGTTTTAATTACAGCCATTGCATAATATTTTTTAACATCTGATAGCTCAACCCTCCCCCCTCAAAAGGTTAAAAACTTTTTTCTTGACTCTTCTCGGTGGACTATATCTCAGTAAATTTCAGAACTCTTTTATCATGTTTCCAAGAATATCCCATTGGAATTTTGATTGGGATTGTATTATATTTATTAATATATTTGAAGAATAATTTAAATTTTTACAATGTTGAATCTTCTTTTCTTATCCAAGAACATGGTATATCTCTATTTTCCTTAAGCCTTCTTTTAACTCCTGGATAGTTATAGCTATCTTCACTTAGATTTGGCATACTACTTAAGTTTACCCCTTTTTTGTTAGGGTGGCTAGAATTTGTTCCATTTATTTTCCTTTAAGAGTTTTAAGGCCCTTCTTTTGGCCTAACCAAAATCTTAACCTCTCATTAATTTACTACACAAATCTCTCAAGGATTCTAATTTCCCTACTGAGCTGAATGAATCATTAAGCTAAATTCTTCTCAGGTTTATCCTGCTTCTATTACTGAATTACATAGTATACTTTGTAGTATAAATTTGAACTTGAAAATTAAAAGTCAGGAATGTTTCTCAGGGGAGTAAATTCCAGGAAAAAAATTACCAGAATTGTATAAATTGGAAGATAGTGGCCACTGCACTAGTACTACAGTACCCCCTAGTGGACACAGAGTAAGTTTATACCAAGAAAGAATCTGGAGGGGCCTTGAGTGATCAACTAGGTCAACATTGTAGCTTCCAGATAAGCGAACTGAGGAACAAAAAGGAGAAATGAGTGGCCCAAGTTTACATGGCTGACCCAAGGCTAAAATCCAAGATTTCAAATTCTCATTTTTCTTTCTCTTCAACATCCCCTCTCCCACCACCGTCCTCTGCTTGCTTGCTTTCTTCCTTCTTTTCAACATGTGCTTATACACCTATTATGTATACACCTTATACACCTATTATGTAGCAGGGCACTAAGAATACAAGTATAAAAAATATTTCATCTTTGCCTTCAAATCTAGTTTTCTTTCAAGCCTACTAATTCAGGGACTGAATTTGTTAGAGAATAACCAAACAACTATGCAGGGAAAAGTTCTTAGTCATACACAAACTGACTTACAATGTGATTAATTAATTATTAAGATTTGATTGGAAAATACATTTGCAAATGTGGATACTGCCCTTGACCACGTTCAGACCATTTCATGAAAAGAGAAGACTTTACAGATTCATAACCATGAATTCTTTTGCAAAACATGACAAAACATTAAAGGTGTTCATGCATGCCCATCACCCAATCCCAAACATTATCATTTGTGTGTACTTCACTGAGCAAATATTTACTGAGGACCTGCATGCCAAGCCGGTACTAAGCACTGGGTTTAGTATGGTAAAGAGGACAGACACGGTTCCAAGGTTTCCGCTCTCATACAGCCTATGGTGTCGTATATGTATGTGTATAATTCTCTACCTCCCAGGAAAACTTTTTTCCACTCCAGTTTGGCAAGTTATATTTTTAGGTTACAGAAATCAGGGGGTATGTAAACGTTTTCTAAAATTATCCGCCCCACTCTAAGGGTCCATAGGATTTAGGGCAAACAGGACTCAACCCCCAAATTTACAAGCCATTAGACAAACTGATTCTCTTTTCTGAACGCTACTTGCTTCTAGAAAATGAAAGTAATATGTGTCCCTTGTGAGAGATAATAATTTATTATTATACTTATTAATACCTAAACAGAGACATTACTTCTTAAGTCAAATGCATGAATTATTTATTTCCTTTACAAAAGTACAGAAAAATTATTGAAAGAGAAGCATTAATATTGCTCACTTAGTTTCACCAAGAATGTCATTTTTCAGAATTAATACAGGAATATTCTCATGGTCACTGACATTTTAATTTTTAAAAATAACAATAAAGCAAAATCCTCAAACAATGGATGCTGCTACAACAGTATATCTTTAAGGCTATTATCATCCATGGGGGAAACAAAGCCCTGTTATTTCAGTCCTGATGAATAAATCTGGTAAGGCCTTATTTATAAGGGATCTTTTAGTAAATTGTATCTAACTTTATCACTCCATCTATGTAATAGTTTGACAAAGGTAGGAATCATATTTTACTCAGCTTTCCCTTTTCTCTCCACCTTGCATAGGGTTAGAGCACTCTAAATGTGGCTAAGAAGACCATATCTTATTTTATGTTATTTGACATATAAGCTGCAAGAGAAAATCTGGCCTAAGTTATAGGTAAACTTACTTTGTTTTACCTGGAAGTAACAATTATCAAACAAGTCCTACTCCTATAAAATTTCTTCTAGGAAAAAAATAGTTAAATTCCCACAATCTCTACTCAAACCAAAGCAAAGCTTCAAAAATATTTAGACACAGAAGGAGGAAGGTAGATCAGGGGAGAACTGGTATATTTGCGCATGGTATGCATGCAGCAGGCCAACTTCCTTTCCCTGTTGTAATATTTCCTGAAGTTTGTTCCACACACAACCAGTTCTATGAAAAGCCCAGGGCTTCAAGGTCAAATAAGTTTGGGAGATTTTGCCCAGCATTTTCTCTCTCGAAAGTTCAGTGTATGCTGGTAAATTAAAAACTATCAGAAGTTCTGCCTGTAATAAAGAAAAGTGTTTAAAATTGTTTACCTAGCATTCCCCCGAATTTATTTGACCAACATTTCACCTATAAGCAGAACTAGTAGTTTCTGTGGAACATACAGACTTCAGGAAACTGTCTCACTGTGTTCACAGGACCTCTTTATCTTGTTAATTCACACACACACACACACACACACACACACACACACACATCCTGGCATTTCATCTCCAAATCCTGCAGGACTGAGAATATGAGCATTTTCAGCAATATTTTAACTAGGGATACCAGTCTGGGGGTACCAGAAAATTAAAACAATTGAATTTTACTTATGTAAGAAGTCCATTTGAATCCAGGAAACAGTTCCCCAGCAATGACTGAAATGTTGTCATAAAAAACAATAAACAGATCTCCAAGTCCTGTTTTGTATGTGGGACAGAGAGAGGGGGAAGAACCATAAGATTACCACCCCCAAAACTCACTGATGTTTCGTACAGCTTCTATCAGTTAATTTACAGAATCCATTTTCCCGTAACTCCATTTTGGAACTTCCAGTTTACCTTTGTGTGTTTCTAATTCTCCTCTCTAGATGGCAGCACAGATGAAAGAATGCCAGAAAAGCTTGGCGCCAGCCGACTTCAACAGCAGCAAACAGCTATCACCTGCCTACTCTCAACTTACCCATCTTCTAAAAAAAAAAAAGCAGAACCTAAGGTATGATGATTACACCTTTTTCAAATACATTGAATCAATCATGTGGGAATGTAAAGAATTAATGACAAACTGATATCAATGAATGAGGAAACTGATCACTTAGCCTCTTTTCCACGCTAGCTGTTTTCTATATCTTACGGGTAGTATCATCAGTGAGCCTGCGTAGCTTTGCAGAATGTCATATAAGCATGATCATTTGCATCATGACACTGGGGATCTGATACAGCCAAACTCCAAACTGCCTGGGTTGCTGTGAGTATTGGATTCCTTTAAGATATAAACAATGCTATTTACTGACCCTTTGTCAACCGATGCTTTGAACCCGCTGTAAAATGATCCCTATGTCACCAGATGCTACGCTGAAGCTCAAGAAGTTAGTAAGAAGGTCACACTTCATGAAAAGCATACAACTTATGGTTGAATTAATAATGCAAAGAAAAGGAGTGGAGCAGACTTAGACAGAAGACCTTTATACTTTACATCAAAGCCGCACTAAGGTTTTTTTTAAACATTATTCCTCGTGGTGTTAAAAAAACAACATTCAGCTGAGTAGATTTAAAAATCAGGTTAACAAAAAATAAAAATAAAATAAAATAAAAATAAAAATCAGGTTAGCTTTACTCAACAATTCATGAATCAGGGAGCATCCCATCTAAGCAAATAGAGAGGAACTCTGAGGAGCTGTACAAAATGGAAGGCTTTTGTAGGAGCAGGGATAAGGAAAAGCACATTACCTCATCTTTCTTCAGGGGATGGCAGGGACCTATCAGGCAGATTGCCTCACTACCACTAACCAGGAAATTTCAGCCTGACTGATTCAAGGTTACATTCCTGGGAGAGGCTGAAACTGCAATTAAGTTAGGTATTAAGTATCGGTGTGGTGACATAGGCTTAGCATAAATGACTCCATTTTGGGCCTGTTGTTTCTCTTTTTAACAATGGGGTCTACCAGCAAGATGTTCATAACAAAATCTGCTGACAAGGAGAACATAAGGAAGGTGCCCCTTCAACGTTTGTCATTTCAAGAGTTCAAGAGTACTCTAAAGAACACTAGACTGTTCATGCGTAATGAACCGGTGCCTTTTAAGCAAACAACAAAAACCTCACCATGGAGAGTGAACATAACTATAATACATAAATAAACCAACCTGAGGCCAAGTGGATTGTCATTCATATTTAAGAAAAAATCAATTTGCAGCATATCAGAGTCTTTTTTAAATTCTCTTTTCTTCTTCTCCTTCTCCTTCTCCTCCTCCTCCTCCTTTTCCTTCTCCTAATGAAAGCAAATGTACCAGGAAATTACCCTAAACATCACATCTTTCCTTGAAGGAGTGCCTTTTAATATTCCTTGGGGGATCCCTGGGTGGCACAGTGGTTTAGCGCCTGCCTTTGGCCCAGGGCGCGATCCTGGAGACCCAGGATCGAATCCCACGTCGGGCTCCCGGTGCATGGAGCCTGCTTCTCCCTCTGCCTGTGTTTCTACCTCTCTGTGTGTGTGTGTGTGTGACTATCATAAATAAAGAAAAATTAAAAAAATAATAATATTCCTTGGGTTGTCATGAGTTAACTCTATGATAAGTCAGGAAATCTGCCTTTCTGAAAACAACTCCTGGTGCTCTACAGTTACTGAATGCTTTCCTCCTCAGCTCTAGCTTGGAGACAAAACTGAGTCCTAAAATGACTAGACCGAGAGGCATTGAGATAATGTAGAATATGAGGGAGTGAAGTTGAGATACTGAGTATCACCCAGCCACTGGTCTGCATCTGCATGCATCTCAAGGGCCACACCATCTAACACCATCCAGAGCTGCAGGCCAGCAGCCCTCCACTCTGGAACTTTTCCCAGAGCCAAGACTCAGATTACTCTGAGACCCAGGACTCAGAGGTGTCACATACCCAGGACAAAGCTGAATCCTGAGAGCCCTGACCCATTAACTCTGTGACAGCTGTGCAGCTGCCAAACGTGCTATCCATGAGACCCTTGATATTCTTGATGTATGCCTCAAAGGGAAGTCCTTTCAAGGGGGTATATATATACTCTATGAACTCTCGTCCTCATCCTTGATTCAGCTTCCAACTACCCCCTTTCCTCTTAAACTTTTTCTCTGTGACCTCAGGAATCCCATACTATCATCAACGAAGACTCCCAGCCTCTTCATTGGACATTCTTTAGCTTTCAAGCCCTAACAGGGCTTTCCTTGCAAGCACACTACTTTCCCTGTAGCCCTTGTAAGTGGAGCCTATTGGGTCAGGTTTCTTCTGTCAAACACTGTCATTTCCATGCATCTCAGTTCTCTGCCCTCTGAGACCCAGACTACATAGCCATCAGGTCACACTCTCTACCCCAGCTATCATCCACTGACTGCTAGCCATGTCCTTTATTTATTAGAGATATTAGCAATGAACCCCAGTATCCCTTTTCATTCCAAGTGCTGCCAACAATCTGGCACATTTGTTATGTCCATGAGACATACTTGATCTCTCTCAGTTCCTTGATTCCATCTCTGGTTTCCTTCTCTATTCTGTTTCAATCATCCAATCCCATGGCCACCCCAAACTTGGTCATCAAGAAACCACAGCACCTCTAAACTCATGACTTTCTATTCCTCTAGTTCTTCTCCTGTGGTTATTTTTACTCTATTGGTTTTCCAAGCTTATTAGATACTCTATTTTCCTTTTTCTCCTTATTTGTTATTCATTTTCTATCTCCTTTTCCTTCTTTACTGGAAAAAAAATCCATGCTTTATAATATTAGCCTCTGACATGTGGCCTCAACTCCTTTGCTCCATTATTCTGTTGTTTCATCTGCCTGACGAAACTTGAATCTAGTTGTTTGCCATGGCTATTCCTTTTCTTGGGCTGCTGGACACTGCTGGAGAAAACCACATGGTCACCCAGATTGGGCTGCCCTAAATTCAGGCTCAGCAACCTCAAGTGGGACTTCAGGACTGCCTGCAATCCTACCATATTCCCCTAACCTGCTTGCTCTTTATTTCTGAGTCACCAGATATTTCAAGAATTCCCCTTTCTTTCCAAATCTCCATGCTTGCCTTCTTTACTATTCTCTGGAGGTGGTTTTATTTTCCACTTATCAAGGGGGTGAAATAGAAGTTGGGAGATGTGAGTAGTCTCAGTTTTCCGTGCTAGCCTATCAACTTGCATCTTTCCCTACCTTGCCTCTTTCCTCAATCTCACCTCTTTATAAAGATGTTCCCTCCCTCATCTAAGGCCCATATCTTGACCCATGCTCTGAGTCCCATGTCCTCTTGACCTCTCATTCCCCTTACTTGCAGTTATTCTCACTCTTATCTATATATTCAGCCTCTTCCACTCTATTGGTTCCTTCCTCCTAGGGTTAAAAAAAGCTCCATTCCCCCTCTATTGACAGCCTGCTCACTCCTCGCCAGCTAAACTTCTTGGAATAGTTATCTCCACTCACTGTTTCAACTTCCTCCCTTTCCATTCACTCTCCCAATCTGCATTCTCCAAGATAACCAGTGATCTCCCTGTAGCTACACTCAAGGGACACCTATCAGTTCTCTCTTTATTTGACACTTGACATGTCCTCCTTTTTTGATACTTTCTCTCCCCTGGGCATCTATGATACCACCTACATGCTCCCAGATATCTCTCTAGCCGAGACCTTTCTCTGGAGCTTCAGACCCAGACAGATATCTTTTAGCCAGCTCTACCTGTAGGTCTTAAAAGTGAATTCATTTCCTCTTCAAACATGTACCTCTTCCTGAATTTCTCCTGTGAGTGGTAAGTACTACCCTTGGACTCACTGATACAGCCAGAAATTTGTGTATTATTCCTGACTGCTTGGTGGAGAGAGGATGGAGGTCTATGTTTGACTGTGTGTTGTGATGGGTGCAAGCTCTTCATGTAGTCTTACCTGGGTGGTCTGAATGCTGGCATGAGCTGCTAATGCCATTCTTGTCTTCTCTGTCAGTACTGGCAAGGCCCGGTGTGCCCTATAGGTTTTTGACCCTGCTGGCTCTGATGGGCAGTGATGAGCTGGCTGGGTGTACATGTAAGTCCCATGTACCTTCATCTTGCAGAAGGGCCATGATATTCCCCGCAACCCCAGCAAACAGTATAGAAATATCTCTTCCTTTTATCTAGCACATCCACTTCCATACAGGTTATTTCTTCTCCACTCATAGGACAGACAGGAAAAAAATCAGCTCATATTTACATATGTGTAAATTGCTTAATCTCATTAATTCACATGTGTGGAATTACATTAATTTCAAACAATAGAAAAATTTATTATTTAATCTCTCTCAATTTCAGTTTAACCTCTGAGTTAAAGAGCAGAGCCCAAGCAGCCAGGGTGGCTCAGTGGTTTAGCACCGCCTTCAGCCCAGGGGCATGATCCTGGAGACCTGTGATTGAGTCCCATGTCCCTGCATGGAGCCTGCTTCTCCCTCTGCCTGTGTTTCTGCCTCTCTTTCTCTTTGTGTCTCTCATGAATAAATAAATAAATCTTAAAAAAAAAAAAGCAGAGCCCTTTGTATTTCATTTATATAATGTAGAGTCTGGGTCTGTCTCAGCATCAGATTATCTCTACAATAACTAATGTACTTTCTACTCTACTAATAAGAGTGGGGGGTGGTATCTGTGTATGTGTTTGTGTTTGTGTGTGTGTGTGCATGTTGATTTGGTGTCAGGGTCCACAGGTTGGCAGCCCAGAGCCCAAAGAGATGAGTGAAGAGAGTACATTCCATTAATACTTCACATATTATCCTATCACATGTTCTTTCAAAATCAAATCTGATCAGGGCATTCACCTGCTAAAATCCTGTCTGTACCTTCCCATTGCCTTTAGGATAAAATCTAAACTTTTAAACTTGACTTACAAGTTAAGATTTGTTCCCAGTTTACCTCTTCCAACTTGTTTCTCACAATTTTATCTCTTTCAATCCCATGGGCTCATCATGCTCTCTCTTGCCTCTGGACTTACATTTCTAGAAGATTTTCTCCAACTTTCCCTATGCCTGGTTAATTCCTGCACATTCCTCTGGTCTCAGGTTAAATGCCAGCTGCCCAGGAAGTCCTCCTTGACTTTCCTCTCACCCCTAACTTTGATGTGTCCCTTCTATGTACTCTTAATAACTTTCTCAGGTCATAGTGTTTATCATATTTTAATTTGTTTTATTTATTTGCTTTCTGGCTAGACTATAAATGTTTTCAAGGCAAGATTGTTTCTGTCTTGATCACTGCACACCCTCTAACACCTAGCATGTACCTGATATGTGGTAGGTGCTCAATAAATATTTGTTAAATAAGTAAATGAATGAGTGAAGAATAAATTGAACATGCAAACCATATAGTAGCTGGCTTCATTTGCACTGCCTTTCATCTTAAAGCAGGACTCAGTACTTTATTGTATTTCTCTAAGAGTAAATCAGCCCCCAAAAAGAGCAGATTTGATTGAAGAATTTATGAAGAGACAGAGAGAGTTTAAATAGCAGGCATTTCTGTTCTCCCCTCTACTCTCTTTGATTTCCAGATGTTGGATCTCCCTCTCTTTTGACTTCCTCCCTGCTCTGTCATCCCCAACTCAGCCTCTACTTCCTTTTCCAAGGAAATCTCCCTCTGGGAGGACAATAGAGGATGAAGTGGAGACAGATGAGGATAGTATCAGTGAATGCTATTTGGGAAACAATTGAATGAGGCCAGGCAGAGATGATGAAGGCCTGAATACAGGGGGGTGCAGGCCAGGTTTTGATGACTGCAAAAGAAGGGAAGGGAGGGAGGGAGGAAGGAAGGATGGAAGGAAGGAAGGAGAAAAGAAACAAAGAGGAGGCTCATGTTGTAGAATTTTAATTTCTTACGTTAAGCAAAATGGAAAAGTGTTATGCAAGAGGTGGGACTGGGACTTGGGGAAAGTAGGAAAGATTTAGAAAAAGAGAAGTGGAGAATGTCAGAGACAGGCACCTACCTTGACTGACGGAAAATTCAAAGAATCATCCTTAGTAGTGAGGGCTTATCTGGGACCAGTCACCTGACAAAGCTTGAATCAGATTTCTGAATTCTCTCCAGCAATATCTTCTGTTTGGGAGTGGAAACAAAAAGTACGCGGTGGATTTCATTCTGGGTAGGGATTAGGAAGACAGGAATGAATGAAGGATCAAGGGGCTGAGGGTGTCTATCAGGATCATTGCTGAAATCAACACCAATAACAGACTGAGAAGAAAGCAAGCAAGGGCTGATGGGTCCTTGGCACTCTGATTACATTGATGGGTGAGAGAGCAAGAATCACAACAAGGAGGAGGACAAACAGAGAGTTCAGTGGCCCTTATAAAAATAACACCCGAATATTCCAGACATTTTCTCCATAAAATGAAAAGGTGAATGCCCCCTTTAAATCATTAACTAAACTGGCATTCAAATCTGGGCAGACTCCCCCAGGTTGGGCTGTTTCACTTTGCCAAGAATTGATAAGCTTCTATGAACCCTCCAGGGTGAGTGAGGCATGATCCATCTTCCCTGTCTGGACAAGCTTGATCTGGCTTCCTTCCTCCTGCTAAAGCAGGCCTGAGGTATGTGACAGGATTCCGTGTCTTAGACCAATTATCACATTCCACAGTGTGGAGCTCCTGCTGATACTGCCTTTCAACTTTTAGGAGGCCCTGCTCTGACACTCCCTGGCTGAGCCCCTCACCACAGAGTGAGGAAACTGGGACCAGAATCCACATTGATCCCTACTACACAGTCTGGATAACCTGGAGCACCTCAAAATTTCTGACCTCAGTGCCTCAAGTCCACTTCCAAGGCCTGCCTACATTTCTTCAGTCCCATCCTCCCAAGGGCAGACCATGCCACCAGTATATGCACTACCTAGACTGAAAGCGGCCAAGGAGAGCCGTGGGGATATGCACAGATTGTGGGTGTGTGGGCTGGGGTGTCCACATGCCTGACAGTTCTTTCTCAGTCAGAGCCAGGAATGGGGAGAGAGAGGGGGTAGCTTCAGCTCTCCCCATGCCTCCATGTCCTCATGCAGAACAAAAAGGTACCTGAAAATTACACATTCAAACTTGGCCTTCAGATCATTAAGACAAAGTTATCAAGTTAGGAAAATACAACATATTTTATTTATAGCTTTTATGTATACATATGGAATATGGACATCAATTTGTATTCTTACCCTTGGTTTCACAAATTTTAGGGGCAGTCCTAGCTCCTGTAATGCATTACTTACATGCTGTGAAGAATAGTTTGTCAAAATTATTATTCTAGGTTTATTTGACATAATAGGTCCAAAATGTATCCCAGACAGTAAAAAATAAAGATCCTATTTGAATTTCTAAAAAGTTTTGGTACCCTAAGCACTTTCTTCAGTTTTTATATCATTTGATTGTCATTTGGTAGAGTATTTTTCCCTGTTTTACTAATGTCTGTATTTAAGATAAATTTTCAAAAAGAATCAATGAACATTTTTAGCATATTCCCAGGTATGTGCAGTCATCACCACAGTCAATTTTAGGACATGTTTATCACACCCAAATGAAACCCTGTATCCATTAGGAGTCACTCTTAGTTTAAGACCCTTTGCCCCAGGGATCCCTGGGTGGCGCAGTGGTTTAGCGCCTGCCTTTGGCCCAGGGCGCGATCCTGGAGACCCGGGATCGAATCCCACATCAGGCTCCTGGTGCATGGAGCCTGCTTCTCCCTCTGCCTATGTCTCTGCCTCTCTCTGTCTCTCTCTATCATAAATAAATAACAATTAAAAAAAATTAAAAAAAAAAAAAAAAGACCCTTTGCCCCAGCCATAGGCAGCAACTAATCTATTTCCTATCTCTACAAAATTGCCAATTCTGGACCTTAAATATAAATGGAATTTTATAATATGTGGTCCTTTATGACTGGCTTCTTTCACTTAGCCTAATGTTTTCAAGGTTTATCCATTGATCAGTACTTACTTTTTTGTCAAATAATATTCCATTGTGTGGATATAACACATTTTATTTATCCATTCATCAGTTGATGGAATTTGGGCTGTTTCCACTTTTTAGATGTCATGAATAATGCTGCTGTGAACATTTGTATATGAGTTTCATATGGACATATGTTTTCATTTGTGTTGGGTTATATACCTAAAAAGGGAATTGCTGGATCATATGGCAACTCAGTGTTTAGCCTTTTGAGAAACTGCCAAACTGTATTCCTATAAGGCTGCATCATTTTACTTTCCCACTAGCAATGTATGAAGGTTCCAATCTCTGTACTTCCTCATCAACACTTATTATTACCTGTCTTTTTTATGATGGTCATCTTAGTGGCTATGAAGTAGTATCTCACTGTTATTTCTATTGCCATTTTACTGAAGGCTAATGATATTGTGCATCATTTCATGAGCTTGCTTACCATCTGTATATCTCCTTTAGAGAGATATCTATTTTGATCTTTTGTCCATTTTTAATTTGGGTTGTCTTCTCATTACTGAGTTGTAAGAATTCTTAGTGTATTCTAGATGCAACTCTTATGTCAATATATGATTTGCGAGTATTTTCTCCCATCCTGTACATTTCTTGCTCATGTTCTTTGAAACACAGAAGTTGTCAATTTTGATGAAGTCAAATTTGTCTGTTTTCTTTTGTTGCTTGTGCTTTAGGTGTCATATCTAACCAACCACTGATTAAAGTCGCAAAGATTAAAAAAAAAAGTCACAAAGATTTATCCCTATGTTTTTTCCAAAGTTTTAGAGTTTTAGATCCTACATTTGGGTCTTTGCTCCATTTTGAGATAATTTTTATATTTGGTGTGAGGTAAAAGTCCAACTTTGTCTTTTTGCATATAATATTCATTATCCCAAACCGTTTATTGAAAAGACTATTCTTTCCCCTTTGGATTATCTTGAAATCCTTGTCAAAAATCAATTGATCAGGGATCCCTGGGTGGCGCAGTGGTTTGGCGCCTGCCTTTGGCCCAGGGCGCGATCCTGGAGACCCGGGATCGAATCCCACATCGGGCTTCCGGTGCATGGAGCCTGCTTCTCCCTCTGCCTGTGTCTCTGCCTCTCTCTCTCTCTGTGACTATCATAAATAAATAAAAAAAATTTAAAAAAAAATCAATTGATCATAAGTGTGAGGGTTATGAATTTTTAAAGTACTCCTTTTCTGATATCTATAATTTCTTTTCTTTTTCCTTTTTTAAATATTTTATTCCTTTATTTGAGAGAGAGAGAGAAAAGAGGGGGAGAGAGCATGCACAAACAAGGGGAAGTGGCTGAGGGAAAGGGAGAAGCAGAGTTCCCACTGAGCAGGGATCTCAGTGCAGAGCTCAATCCCAGGACCCCGAGATTATAACCTGAGCCAAAGGCAGATGCTTAACCAACTGAGCCACCCAGGTGCCCCTATAATTTCTTTTCTAAAGGAATATGCAATAGGTCATATCTCAGTTTACTATGACTCTTTATTTATTTATTATTTACATTTTTTAGAGAGTGGGG